GTTTGCATTATAATATCCGAGGCCGTCGACCGACCGACGCTGTTCATAATATTATATTATTATTATTATATACACGTATATTAATCTTATTCAATACAATATTACGCATATATGTATTTCGCACGAGCATTTTCCGAGAATATCATTTACTTACGCTTTGCCCGATAATCGTAAAAGCGTATACTCGGCTAAGCGAGACGACGTATCATTTTGCATATCTATTCAGTACGGTTTTTGAGTTTTTTTTTTCATTTAAAAAAAAACCAAGACCAACGTGTTTTTGTCGCGTTAGTAATAGGTCCAGTCGGTTTTAATCGATGTCGTGGAGGTGGAATGACACAAGAGGGTGCCGATTATTGTGTAGAATGTAGTCGTACAAAGGGTTGGCATAAATTGGGCGCCCCAGGGTACACTGGCTGTAAACATCTTAAAATTTATTTTAACCTATTGTAGCATCTCGAGACTTCTTTATATTTTTATTTTTTGCTGTACTTTCTTTTCAGTAATAAAATAACTGTAAACTAATACCATTTCAAGTAACAATTAACCGCCTATTTAAGTATAGTAAAATACTTTTAGTATTATACTTAATGGTCGGCGATGGTGAAGGTATAATAATATTTAACTGAGCTGCGTATTTTTTTATAAATTGTCTTATTTATTTGTTTTTTTACTATTCTCGATTGGTAATCATTTTCGAGGAAAAGTAAAAAGTGGATTTACAACCGAGAATGGAATGTACCCTTATTATGGTCAATGGATTTGACTAGTTCCGTTCTGGAACGCTACGGTGGAATGTCTGACAGATAGTAAACACTTTTTGAAAGTCGACAATTGAAATAATCCCAAGTCTATTAAGGTTGCTTAATAAAATCATAAATCTTATGATGTTCTAATTGTCTAATTAACGAATACAACGTATGTCAACCAAATGTAACCATGTCATTGACGACACTTCTTCGGTTGACAATAATTTGATTCAACCGATAACTCGCGATGGCATTCAAGCCAACGATACAAAAATATAGGTAAAATAAAAATAAAATAAATTATTCAAATTAAAAGGAATTCCAAGCGTATGTAGGTAACACTTATGACCGTTCGAACGACGGTCGTTAAAAGTTTAAACTGTTATAAAAACAAAACAACCGTGCCCGAGTGTTTTTATTTCATTTTATTTTTATATAAGGTGTTATTAATTTTTTTTTTTTCAAAATCACGCCACTCTTGTCTTCGATTGTTTATTACCTTTGCGGCTGCGGTTCACATCTGGGCTGTTTCACGGTTGAACCGTATTCAACGGGCCATAAGTGGGTCAATGATTTGTTTCCTTCGATATTTCCCCCCCGACCTCCCCTACTCGTCAACCGATTGTCCGGATGACTGGTGACAACAGCAACAGCTCTACGACGGCGTATCGTTCCATTGTCATTGTCTTAAGTCGTTTTTTTTTGTAAATTCGTAAATCATTCGCCATTTAGAGGTCCTCGTTATTTTTAGACTTATTCATCTTTACGCGCGCTACAATCCGTTTTTTGGAATGTTCGGTTATGTTTATTTACCTGTACAAACTGAGCATGTATAGTCGAACGTCTTACATCCGGATTATCAAACGCACTGGAAAACCTGGTATACCAAAAACGCGGTTGTGTGTCGACCCGATTTCGGCGTTTTGGTCAAGAACACGGATCGCCGCACCCGGAACTCAATGCTAAAATTCGAATTGCTCATGTCAAATAAAAGTAGCCACGCCGCAATAACGTTAGATCGCAATAAAATTGCATTATTATTATGGAATGGTATCGAATATAATGAAATACTAGTATTTGCTAAAATAAAATAATATATTATGAGAGGGGAAACCCATAGGTACACCTGTCCGTGAGTGTTGAGTTCATTATTCACAGTGGCGGCCTAGACGGACAATGCCTAAGTGTTGTGCATGTGCTGTGTTTTGGAATGTCCAAGAGGTTATGTAATTTGTCGGCTGACTCACTGTCGTCGTCGTCGTCTTATGTCGTCATGCGACGACGGAAAATTCGTTGTTTGGCTCAATTAAATCAATTAAGCGTAGATAGATTTTTTTTTTTGTTATTGTTGTTATGTGTTATGTATTAAAAAGAACACCCTTTTGTGGCACACGTCAAGTCTGGCGAGACCTCGACACGCGGTGTTATAATATAGTACACTGTACGTCTCGGAATAGCTGTAATAGAGTGTTGATAAACTATCCATAGTCTGCGTTTATATTAAAAATTCAACAGATTTTTTTTCTATTTTATTATTGTAAAGAACAACGAGGACTGTTAACAAAAAAACGCAAGTGTTTATCAAAAAGTCGAATATTAACTACCTATTGTTATTCGCCGTGCTAACCATTATAAGTACCCCGGGCCAATTATTACGGTTCAACGCGAACGTTTTTACTTTAATAATAATATTCAAATGATACCACTCGTAGACTTATAGTCGATTCTCTTTTGAACGTTTACCGGTTTTTTTGGTTTTGTGCCGGGTGTAGAGTTTAATATAAAACGATTAGCGCGACAAATAAACGGCATTGCGGTTCGCCGACATGTTATTCCAAGGCGACAGTAAATGGCTGTTAACCTCATCGCTGTCGTCGCGTATTGTCTCAATGTCTGAATTTAATTGTTTAGTTACGACACACGGTATAACGCGTTGTGTATCTCTGCGCAGGCAAAGCGTCTTTGGGTTAAGCGTTTGTCGCCCAGCGCGCACTTCGGATCAATTGGCCGTGAAGCGTATAACGGCGTCTCCGGCGGAGAGACCCTTCGCGACCGCCTTGAGCTGTTGTATTGCAATGATTATTGTGTTAATAAATGTTTGCTTTTCAATCGCTAAAATTATCTCTACACAACTCGTAGCTGGCCTTTCGACAACAGTTATCCGAAGAAGACATTTATAAATATCTATGTGAGCTCTCTCGCGCCCACCCAGTCGAACATGGTAGTAATAACAATATGTCCTTTTTACTACATTACATAATAATAATATAGATTCGCAGCTACCGGATAGTCGGTTACACATTAATATCATATTATGTTGTACGCGTATTGCAGACAAATTGTCCCGTTACGGGGTGTTGTACGGTTGCGCTGTGCTCGCAGCGGGTGTAGTGACCCCGGCATAAACTACCCTGTATTGTGTTGACAATAATAATAATATTAATATTGTAATCTGTACCGTTAGAATCACAGGATCAACATTTTATTTTTTTTGAAAACTAGGTTTGGCTAGGCCGGGATGGTTGAGGATGATAGTATATGTGTGATTGTGTGTATACAAAATAATTGGGTCGGCTTAACAACACACGGCCGTCACATGAGGGATTTATCTACAATAATCGTTTCTGGGACGCCCGCACGGCAGCGACGCGCACCGATGCGTTTAGCCACCGAGTTATTTCATTGTAATTATTTATTTATACATATATTTTTTAATTTTAATTTATATTATTTGTGTATATATACATGTGTATTATAGGTTTGTTTGCGAAACGCCGCGTTCGGTTCAAACGAAAAACTCGGTCTCCGTGCATTATTCGATTCAAGGGTATACCGATATTGACTTGTGTGTGTGTGTGTTTATTTAATTGGCAGACGAAGGGGACGGTGGAGGGGCGAGCGATTTTATAAGACAACGCACTTGCCCGGTGTTCTAGCTGTCGCCACGTGCGTATAGGTATAGCCGCCGTACGTAATGCTTTTGTGACATTGTTCTGGTCTATTTTGATAATATATATTATTATTACTACTATCTAGTGTAGTATATAAAATGTATAATAATATCATGCACCCTGGACTGGCCGTAGGTATTACCCCCGGCACGTACACGCTCGGTGGGCGGTTTATGTACGAGATGCGCGTTTCGCACCCGATCCGGGGACAAAACCTTTTTACGATTTTATTGTTGTTTTGGTCGTGGACCGTTTTGTTGGCGGATTAAGATAGTATAATATTATATACAACACATAATAAACGCGAGTACACCCGAAATGCCGGTCTCGACAACGGTAACCGACGACCGGCTGTGCGCGCCAAAACCTTATGTATTTTGGACCGTTTTGCTCGTTTTTGGTAAATCATTTTCGATTGTGTCGGACCGAAAGGCGTCCGTCGATAAACCCGCTATTTGTCCATTGTGCAATAATAATAATAATATCATCTATCGCCGCACAATAGCCTTGTATTATTGGCATACTACCCCCAATATTCGCACGTTTCAGTATTACCAATATCCATTTATAATGTTTGTGTTCACCAAGTCATCCGCTTGGGAAAACGATCAAACTATAAGAAATCTAAGAATAACACATTATCGTTAGCTCCTGATAAGTATTCGTTTGATACTGTCGCCGCACGTCCATCGACTGATGGACAACAGAGTTGTCGAAAATAAAATAAAAAACACTCCCCGAAAATTCAACCCTATTATTATACTTTACATAAACGATAATGGTCGATAATTGCGCTCGTTATAATGCGATTGCGAGTTATTATATAAATCATTGGATAAAACTACCGCGGAACGCCTTAATGATAGGTACAACAACTATATGAAGTGGGTACTTAATGGAAGCACTTTGCCGTTAATTAATATAGTATGGTAAATAATATACATAAATGATATTATAGATAATAGATTTTCTCGGAATCAGATATACTCGCATAATAACAATGATGTAAATAATTGTACAATTGCATTATGAAAACAATATATAAATATAATATATACATAACATAATTTAACATGTGTATGTATTTAGGACTAAGGATAATTAGATATCTATATGTAAACTATATAGTAACGAATAATCGACTAACGCTTGCATGCCTATAGTTTTACCGGACAACATTATTTTGGGTAATGTTGTCGTTATACATAAATTACTCTATACTAATAACACTATATGATGATTGGCACGTGTAAATTTTAATTTTTGTTTTTTTTTTTTTTTTGGTTATTGCTCACTTCAGGGTAGAGTTTGACATCCGTAAACGTCGTTCAACCACTGATCAAACGCACCTGTTTAGGACACGGTGCGCGACCGCTTGTAGAAAATTGCCGGCCACCCACAAGACTGCCAGTGCGGACGACGACCAACAGCCGTGGTATTATGCGAGTTGCATATGTGCCGCTGCCTCATCGGTCGAGATGAAATCGTCCGAAGACAACAAGTACTGTGTCGGTCCTGACAAACCGCACATTCCGGCCAACTCTTGGAAGTAAGTACCGACAAGCAAATATCACAAATTCGACCGTACACCACTTTGTTTAGCCGCACTAAGATAAAAACATTTTTTTTTATTAATACCTATATTGTGTCTCAAAATAACTCGGGGGGGGGGGGGGGTTATTAGGTGAAAAAGTCCAAAGGGCCTTTTGGACATTTAAAAACTAGGTTCAGTTCAATTCGGCGTCAAGTGCATGATTGATGTGTAATAATCATTTCTAGCGAGACATTTAGTTAAGGCGTGTCGAAAGAAGGGAGAGATTTAAAATAGTACAAGAGGACACCTGGGTAAGCGGGTGTAGCGGGTGGATGTTATCAGGGGCACATGTATTAGCATTTTTATACATTGGAATTCACCGTTTCGTCCCCTCTCTCGAGACTTCCAAACTCAAATGTTTCAAACTACTTGTTTTCGACAATTATTGGCTCAAATAATCATGAATGTACGGGCAACGAGCGTTGTGGTGACAACTATAAAATGTCGTGTAGAACTTCAATGAGAATAGAAATGCCGATAACGAGAGATAATACCTACTTCGTTTTGTTTACACAGTTAACAATCATTTACGATAGCCCTAAAAATACATTGGTCAAACAATAATAATTATGATTGTACACAACTTTATCACTGCACGCTGTTGACCATCATCAGCTGCTGCCGCCGTGGTCGACTTTACTTACAGGTCGGACGGGGAAGTAGTATAATATTATGGTGACCCGCCAACAACAATACTGTGTTATAAAATATGTAGTGCTGTGCTTGTACCAGTTGTCCGTCGGTAATAACAATATTAAGTGCGTTTCTTCTACATTATATTTTATTATTATGGACTAAAGAGCCGACACGGGCCTATATTATTATATGACCATTTTTCACGGTAGACCCACTTTTCCGATAATTACCCGTTTTTCTTCGAGTCCGTACCGATCCGCTTTATAACAACATTATTATTATGTATTGATCTCTGTATGTTACGGTGTTTCGCGATCCGTCCCATCAAGTCTGATTTGGGTTGCCGGTCGGTGGTTTACAGTCATTTTGACTTGATAACAGCTAAATCAATTGTTTATTATAACACGTTAATAACGCGCGCGTCTCTAAACCGGACCGTCCCGTGTCGTTTAGGTAATACCGCATCATAATGTTGTTGTATATTTGTCGAATTATTGAGCAATACACAAGCTGTAGTCGTTTGCCAAGGTAATGTACGTCGTATAGGTACGCATAGGTCGGTTAGGTTACACTACAGCATTATGCATTATTTGGGTTTAGAGATGACTCACGGGGGGAATAGTTCAGCTAGCTACGATGATGATGTTGTCAGTGATCTCCATAAATATATATGTATATATACCAGGTAGGATGAACATTATATTTTTCTCTGTAATAACGTTAGTCTCGGAAAACGGGTCGGTGGTAAAAAAATAATAATAATAAACCTCGGATGACACGACACGTTGGCTCTTCTAGGTACCTATAATAATATGTACAAACGTGAAAAAATAGGTAAATTTAACAACGCGTCGCAACCGACCGGCGGATAATATGCCTTTTGTGCACGTCCAAAGGCTACCTAATTGTCGCGGGCAAAACTAAGGGACAATTTTGTTTTTTGGGGAAGAAAAAAAAATAGGTAAAAAAACCGTCTAGGTAAGCCCGGACCGGCACGTTTGCTTCCCGCCGGCCGACTCGGTGCACCCGAAACAGTAATGCGCGCGACACCGGACTTGACGGTTACAATAATATTATATCGTGGTGCGGTTATGCTTGTCCGCGGTAAAACGACATCAGCTGTAAAGATGGCCGGTCCGAATTCGTTTAGGATAAACACGGCACACGAGATCAACTTGAAATGGCTGCACTTCGACTTGTACTACAAGCGACGACACCGTTGGTCAGGTAACCCGATAAAACGCATATAATTATGGTATTTAGCTTTTAAACGACCGGCACCGAACCCGTTTGGCAATATGATTATTGACAATATTATAATTTTTGTTTTTTGATTAAAAAAGAATATATTCGACATAAGCAATAGCAACGGCGTAGGTGCCCACGGCGATATCTCGTTGATACGACGGATGCGGTGAACAAATATTGATTTTGACAACAGCAGCCGAAAAAACTTATATTAATCTCTCTGTCTAGGCTATATTTCTATTATACTGTTATAATTATGTTTGCGGAGCGACGCTGCCGATAGGTATAGCGATAACAATGTAATATTGTAACGTTGTTAAACTCAATAACTCGATCGATATACCGATTAGGTACGACCACCGCGGGAAGAACCGACGCTAACGGCCTAAACCGGTTGATACTGGCGGATTTCGGATATAATTTAAATCGTTGAAATGCTAAAGAGTTATTGATTATTGTATCCTCCTACAATAAACTCGCCCAATAGGTAAATAAAAATAATAATTAATATTTTCGCTGAACGCGATAGACCATAATATTATGTAATTGCGTTATTAACAAAATTCAGTGGCTTGTGTTCTATTTTTTTTTTTGGAAAATTGTGTTATCCTAGACAGCAAACAAATTTAAATGTTATCAATAAATTTTTAAGGTATCGGTTGTAAAAGATTAAAAAATAATTCATATTCTAAATGATATAGTATTATTAATTTCCAAACGTCGTTGCTGTAAAATTATTTTAAAAAATCCCCTAAATACATCTGTGCGTTATTTCTAACTAAATAATTGTGCGCTTTTTTTCAAATTGATTTGGTATAATAAATGACAAAACGGGTAAAAACAGATAAAATATAGTGCGACGAAATATAGTTAGTTATTATGTCGATGTGAGTTCATGTTATATACGTATTTGGATTAATGTGTGTGGGGGTGTGTTTCAGGAGTGCTGGATGATAGTATCTCTCGGGGCAGCCAGTCTGTAGAACCACCCCAACTGGATCCCGAGTGGCTGAGGGCGGAGACGAGCGGCGACCCCCTAATGCGGCTGTCCAACGGCAGCGAAGGAACCACTGAGTCCATGGTGGAGATGTTGCAGTTCAACGAGCACTTCCTGGACGAGGACGGGGCGAAATTCATGCTGAACCCCGCCGAGCTGGACGACCTGTTGGGACGCGATCAGTACGCGGCCGACGGCTCACCGGTGGTACCGTCGCAACAGCAGCAGCAGCCCAGTAGCCTCGAGCCCAACAACAAGCCAACAGCGAATTTCGCCGACCTCAAGCCATTGATGCCGTTCCACACAATCACCGAACGCGTCAACATCAACGGCATACCCGGTCACCATTACCAGTCGATAGCGGCCAACAATCGAGTGGCCGAGAACAACAACAACAACACGGCCACGGCCAACAACAACATGTATTACCAAAACGAATACCTCGTCACGTCGTCCACCAACGCCAACTTGCCCAAGTTCAAGGAAGAAGTAGACACGTTCGTAGACAATCAATTCGACGAATTCGAGATGTTAATGAGAAGCCCGTCGTTCGGCCCCGACACCACGGTGACGGCTAGTGATCACCCGGTGGACGGACCGGACGAGTGGCTCGGCGTCGCTGACGAATGGCCGTCGTACGACCATCCCAACGGATCGCCGCAGGATAACAAGGCCGGTATTCTGGCCGACGTCACCATCCACGATTTAGTGGCCAGTTCGCAGTTCCCCGGTATCCCCAACGGCGGCTACCATCAGCAACCGATGCAGAAACCGCTGTACCAACAGCAACCGCCACCGCAGCAACAACAACAACCGCAGCCCCGCGACATGGTAACGTCCAACGTGCCGCCGGCACCACGACCCGGTGCCGCGGCTTTCATGCCGCTGCTGCAGAATCGCCTGCAAAACGGACCGGCCAAGGCGCCGCAGGACTATCACATGGACTGCGCGTCGTCGCCGTCGTCGTCGACGCCGTCTTATTTGGCGCACAGTCCGACCAGTCACGTCGTCAGCACCACCGACCTGGGGTACATACCGGCCGTACACAGTTCACGGCCGTCGCCGGAGTTCGCCCACACCACCACGCCCGGACAGGGCCACATGGCCGTCAAGAAGTCGAGGAACAGGAGCAAGGCCAAAGGGAACGGCGGCAACGGAGGCAATGGCGGTGCGGCCGCCAGGAGCACCGTGGTGTACTGTTCCGATGGAAACGTAGCCCGCGAGCGGACCGTCCACAACTGTCATATATGTAATCGCGGGTTCCTGAACAAGAGCAACATCAAGGTGCACTTGAGGACGCACACGGGAGAAAAACCGTTCCGGTGCGATGTATGCCAGAAAGCATTCAGACAGAAGGCCCATCTCATCAAGCACGCGCAAATACACAAACGCAGCGGCAGGGACTGAGACTCAAAGGTACCAAAATAATTACCAATCGTTTGAAAATCGTTTGTAATATTTGTTTAGTTGTCCCTCCTTACTCTCTCACTTTCTCACATAATATATTTTGCTTGTGAATTCCATTTAAAATCATGTGACCAAAGAAATTGAACGAATCATTACGATTGTACGACAATAATAATTATTGTTGTCGGTTCTGGTCGCGGAGTCTTTTTAAACATTTTTTTTTTTTTAAACGATTCGCTTATGTACATTTTCATTTTGACAAGAAATCGGTTAAAGCCCCGGGGAAACCGTCGAATCTCAAGTGTTGTTTTAATAGATTTGTAATAACCAAACGCGTTTTCATTAAAGAAACTCCACGATTATTAGTTTTTAAAAAGAAGTACAAAAAAAAAACTTTGTTTTGTGAATAATTATTTTACTGTTTATATGTTATTTTGTGGATGTGTCAATGACCACACAACAATTAAGAATGCAATTAAGTTGTTTACAATATTAATATTTAATTTTAACGATTTGTTTTTTTCTTTTTTTTTTTGTTATTTATTCGACGTCCTCGGTCATCTGCTAATTTATTATTTTGTGTCACACTCAAACAACGAATTTACGAATTGACTTATTATTATTTTTATTTATTTAATTTTTTTTTTTTACATATCAACTTCAGTACGAATTGTTTTCCATTAATTTATTATTATTGCACCGGGGACGTTATAATTATTTTGTATTATTATTATTTTATTTTTATTATTATTATTATTATTATTAATATTATTATTATTATCATCATTTTAATATTATTATTATTATTTTATCATTATTATTATTATTATTATTATTATTAATATTAGCATTGAGTAGTTTTATTATTCACTTGCAATTTGTTCTATGAATCACACTGCTACTTATGCTTTTGTACATAATTAATTTATATATTTAAACAATAAAACAGCCGTGGCGTACAGTTTAAATTTAATATTTCTATAAATTATTTTTGTAATTTATGTGTGTTTGACGAAAAACCCTTTACGCCACGTTCTAATTCGTTTCTGTGTACTTATAACGCGCTTATATACATGTATAGCTACAACTAGACTTTGTTTTGTACTTATTTATTTTGTATTTAAATTATTTAGTTTATTATTACTTGATTTTTTATTATGTAATCGGCAAGTGCTTTTTTTCCCCCATTACCCGTATAGTATTTAATATCTCAATAGTCGTTAATTTATTGTACTGTACTTTTGGTTGTAAGGTTAAAAAAATATGTGCATGTTTTATCGTTTTTTTTTCTTCATTTGTTAGACCTACCGCGGTTCTTGATTTTTGTTTTTATACAATAGAAATATATATATTATATATAAAATCTATGTTATATAATATGAATAAATGTGTAAGCAGTAATAAGTCTAAGTATTTTTCTTTTTTTTTTTTATCTTATAATTATAGTCATTGTCGAGTAATTATAAAAATCGATCGTAATACACATACACGAAAATACAAATAGTAACCTTTTTTTTTAGTAGTTGATCAGTATTTTTATTTTGTATAATTATTGGTCGAATAATATATTAATAGTATCTACTTATGTATTTTTTAAACGGAACGGTCACTAGTATTCTTAGATGAGCATGTGTTTAACGAAAACAAAAAAAAAACCACAGTTATCCTTTGGAGTTAAAAATAAGATGCAAAGTACCTATACAATAAGCGCAGTATAATTTATTTAAAACAATATACTTACCTGTCACTATAATATTATCTTTTCAACCAAAAACAAATAAATACATTTATAAGCCGTCGATTCGTGCAATTATTTTTATTTGTTTATTTTTATCAATCAAAAATATATGTACCTATGCGTATTTTAATCCCACAAAAAAATAAATTATAGTAATAATTGTCGAATCGACCGATAAAATTAACAAATCGCTAAAACGAAGACAAAAACGGCACGGTAAGTACATTTACCATTGAGTACCAATGAACATTATATAGGTATTATTATTTATGTACTTAGGTATAGGTATATGGGTATGTGGTGACCCCGATTCGGTCGGTCGATCCGTGCCGAATCCGCACAAAGTAACCGCGGCGGCGCGGCGTCGGTAAGCATGAATACATCAAGAAAATCCTTGGCAGAAAATTAATAACGAAAAAATAATAATACAAATAATTTGTTGAACGATATCGGTGTTGACGGGCCGTTGTATATATTATAACAATAATAATTATAATATTATATAACGTTAACACAATACAGAGCATTTTTAGCAACAATTTTTTGTATTTAACCGTTTTCCATCAAATTTTAGCGATTTTGTAATTATAATAATAATAACAATTACAAAATATTATAACTTATACTGCGTTGACCGATTTGTGTGCATTATCGTCACCAGACGTTTTTCGACGGCCAAAGACGGCCAACAAAAAAAATGGCCAAGTGAAATGGTACAATATATTATACAATTTTCATCGTTATTATTGTACACATACACTTATGGGCGTACCCTACACTTAGCAGTTGTCCGTGTAGTAAGTATACCGTGGAAACAACAATGTTTTACACCAATTATAATATTATTATTTTGTATTATTGTACAATGGTGGTGTCGCCGCCGCCGCCGCCGCTGTTGTTGTTTTTGTTGTCGTCGTCCGACTCGGCGGCACGGTGGAATAAATAAAACCACTTTTACCTTGTGGCCGTGCTCAGTCAGTAGCACGTTGACCCACTAAGACATCTTTCTCTCCGTCGGCCGTCACGGTTCTTGTATTGTGTGTGCGCGCACGTTGTCTTCGTTTATAGGAAGCCGGATACGACCGATACCTGTATATAATGGTACACTAATTATCATCAGTCGGTCTGTTAGAGCAGGAGAGGGGAACAACGAGGGGGATGTGGGGATCGCGAATTCGCCGTGTGCCGAAAATATACATGTATATGTATTTGCCAAATCCGGAATCAAAAATCGCGTGCGCCAATAAAAAAAAAAAAATACATACTACACCCGCCTTGGGAACCGGGCCACTTTCTCGTGACTCTGGCAGATTTGTTTTTTCGGCATATCCTAGACGGTTTTTTTATTAAAGAGGAGGCGGAGTAGAGGGACAAGGCTGTTCTACGAATTCGCCGTGACAAACGAGTTTACCGAGATTGTTTTATCAAAAATAATTTTAAAAATCTGCACAAAGGTTCCGATCCTGCATTGTTGGTAGCGCCGTGCTATTGTCTGTAAAGTACAAAGCCAGGGGCGATAGATTACGAACGGATGTTTTAAAATGCAAAGGTGTTTGACAATAATACAGAAACCGTGGTTAAATTTTATGTAAAATTTACTGTTCCGAACGACTAATGTGGGAACAAAGTACGCATGACAAAATTAAATTTTCAAAGGCTGTTAAATACTCCACTGAACGAATTTGGAGTTTTAAGCGAGGGGCGAGGCGTTATTTCTAATTATTAATCAATGGCGTTCTTCTTCGATAAAATCACATTTGAATGTACTATTAATTAAAAAAATTAGTTTGTTTTAAAATTAAGAAAAAACAAATTGTTGGTGTTGTGCCCTTGTAAATTATTAAAACAATTTTGGTACCTACTCCCGTCCAATTACTCTCATTTCTATAGTTAATGGAAGGCGTAATCACTAAATAGTAGTTTTATACTACAAGTTTTAGTTGCGGCCGATGAGTCAGATAGTCAGATGAGTCAGTAAGTATTAGAGTAGCTTATATTTATTTAATTAGATATTAAAAAAAACTATTTTCCACCCAATTGGTTGGTGGGTCTGTTTAAAGTTTTCGATCCACTATCAATCACAAATAACAAATAAGTTTGGCGCCACTGCGGTCGTGCTTCTCGGTGAGTAAGTATAACGCCATTAGACAGAGACTTCTTGGTACGTTCCCCTTTACCTCTACCAAAGTATTATACTGTTTATATATTATCGTGTGTATAAGCGGCGTTGGATAAATTGGACATTTTTTTTAACTGGTCGACAAGGCTATGAGGTTATGTGTAGGGGGAAATGTCTACGGCGCAATTCTTATAAATCCGGTTTTTCAAAAAACGAATTTTCTCTCGGAAACACGTGCACGATCGGCACGTTGTACTTCTTTTTTTTTAAACCATATTATAATTTCGTTTTATTCGATTGATTTGTGTAGAGTCTCCCAAACATCTGGACCGTACGTTAGATTTATACCAATCCAACTTGACACGGTCCGAGGGTAAACATTTCTACTGCTTCCCTAGTGCCTTTTATTATCGGTCATTATGGGCGTCTAGTATGGAGGAATGTCAGCCATTTTAATAACCGGGAGAAACGGAGCATTGGATACATTAGTAAATCCCCTCTTTTCACTACTTAAGACATAAAAATGCAAACAATTTCGGTGGGCCATATTCAAAAACCAGGGGCGCTACTAAGCACACCCAAGCTGCTCCCGAATTGCACCTGTGGACATGGGTTGTAGCAATAATAATACTCGTAAGTCGTTTTTCCGGAACCGACCGTGTACTTTATCGCACCGAATGTAGAACGCTGAGCTGTGGCTCTAGATCGTCGCGCATAATCCACACAAGATGAAGTATACAACACACACACATATATAATGATTTTTATACATTGTATATCTGTTGGGCAGACGGAGACCGGGTGGCGGGTAGGTAGGTAATTAACGCGAATCGGACACAGACAACTGAAAATCGGTCAGCGGGTTGATGGCGAACGCTTTTAATGGCGAAAAAGTGTGACGAATACGATGATCGTTTCACTTTCTTCGCGGATTACTTTTATCGAGGAGAAAGAGTGAGAGGAACCCGGCGGAAGGAGTAGTATAACAAACGTGTACGTTAAACAAATGGCGTACAATTTTTTTTTTTTCCCGAAGACTATGCGCCGGTGCCCGTGGTGGTACGACGGCAGCGGCGGCCGCCATGCCGATGACCTCAATATATATTATTATACTAGCTCTAACAACCATGGCAATGCACCTTCGTGTGTAGTGAAAACGACCACGCTTCTTCTCCGCGCGGCCGTGGCCGACGCTCGAGAGAAAGTACTTTTATTTATATATTATCATTTAATACACACACACACATATATAGCGTCACACTGTGTCGAATACATTTCTCTTTTGCCCAAAGCACACGATAGAGAGAAAAAAACCTGTACACCGCCGCCACCGTCATCGTCACCACGTGGAACCTGGTCATTGCCTCCTCGACAAGAAAAACAAGTCAACAATATTAATACTGAGGCCGTTTGTATCGTACACGGTTTATACACACAAAAACAATAGAAATACAGACAACGAATCGGTTGGCTTGTGTAATTTGTAATCGGATAATTAATAATAAACGGAAGAGTATAATTTTGTGCGCAGTGCACGGGTGTGATACTCGAGATTTGTGCGTTTAAGGCAATGTCAAGTTCATTAAATACATTGAATGGTACATCTTCAAAAGTCGTTGCTGTAAAACTATAAAAATAAAAAAATTCACTCGAGTATGACACCCGTTTGCAGTGCATTAGCCATCGATTTGTACTTGACGACTTTTTGAATCATTAATGATAACGGCATTGCCTAGACGAATGACAGAACTGGCAAAATATTAATAACGTTGTACAAAGAACTATTGGAGTTTTAAAGCTAATCGTCAGTGACATGAAGACCATAGTTTTAAAGGCCGAATTTTGTAGGTACTAAAGGAGTGGGCTGTGGGAGGTGGTAAGTAATGATTAAAGTATGTAGTGAGTAAAATAACTGAGGTGTGGCTCCTTCATGATGATTATTTGCCTGATTGAATATAACAATTTCTAGAAGACTAGTTATGGGAATAATTGCTAAGGTAGAATACAGCCCCCGAATAAACGCAACCGAACTACAAGGTGTATTATAATAGTTATCAAGTCAGAATATAAAAATTGTGAAGAAAATTCGAGTTAGTAGAAAAACATGGCCTTCGATCGGAATTCTTGCTTATAACAACTATAGTGAAAACTCTTAGTATCGTTCATAGCAGTTTCCTGGGCATAGCCCTTAATCTCCTCCATTCACGGAATTTAACTAAACAAAAATATAATAATATTTCAGATGTGGTCTTGAAACTACAGCCGGTTTCTGTCTCGCTCCCTCCCCAAACAATAATGCGGCCATTTTATTATTGTGGGCATTACTCGAGCGGACCGAGATTTTCTTGTATATACACAGTGCCAAATGTAGAATAAGGCCAAAACCAAATTTCCCAGCACATACGTGTGCCAAACGTTCACTTTTAAGGCACGTGAAATCCGTGTCAATACTTGCACGACTGGAGAAAAACACTTCCATCTTCACTTTCTCTTATAACACACACATATACATACAGACAAGCTACTATAAT